GCCTTGGCATCTTCCTAACCAGAGATGTGAAAGACCTTTACAACGAAAACTACAAAACACTTCTCAAAGAAATCAAAGATGACACAAACAAATGGAAAAATCTTTCATGCTCATGAATTGGAAGAATCAACATTGTTAAGATGTCCATCCTACCCACGGCTAGCGAAATATCAATTAAATTACCAGTAACATTCTTCTCAGATCTGGAAACAACAATACAGGAATTGATATGGAAACATAAATGACCACAAACAGTCAAAACAATCCTCAGCAAAAAAAAAAAAAGTGGGAGGCATCACCCTCCCAGACTTTAAGCTTTATTACAAGGCTACAATAGTCAAAACGGCCTGGTGTTTGTACGAGAACAGACATCTCGACCAATGGAACAGGATGGAGATTCGGAAGTAAAACCTCAATTTCTCAACCAACTCCTCTCCGACAAAGCCTCCACTATCAACCACTGGGGAGAAGAGAACCTATTCAGTAAATGATCCTGGAAAAACTGGCTGATGTACAGAAGATTAAAACAAGACCCCTACATATTACTGTACACAAAAGTCAACTCTAAATGATCAAAGACCTAAATGTTAAACCTCAAACTATAAGGACCTTAGAAAACGCAGGAGACACCCTTATGGAAATTGGAATTGGCAACCAATTCATGGTCAAAACCCCAAGTACCCATACCCTAAGAGATAAGATAGACAAGTGGGACCTCATCAAACTGACAAGCTTCTGAAAAGCCAAAGAAACCATCAAGAGAGCAGGAAACAGCCCACAGTCTGGGAAAAAATATTTGCCAACTGTATATCTGACAAAGGCCTAACATCAAAGATCTACAAGGAACTCTAAATGCATCGAAAAGAAAAAACAACCTCATTACAAAGTGGGCAAAATACATGAATAGACACTTATCAAAAGAAGACATACGAGCAGCCAACAGATACATGAAAAAAACACTCAGCCTCACTAGTCATCAAAGAAATGCAAATTAAAACCACACTGAGATACCACTTAACTCCAGTCAGAATGGCCATCATCAATAACTCACAAAACAACAGATGCTAGAAAGGATGTGGGGGAAAGGGAACACTTCTACACTGTTGATGGGAGTGTAAACTAGTATAACGTCTGTGGAAAACAGTTTGGTGATTCCTAAAATATCTAAAAATCAATCTTCCATATAACCCCGCAATCCCTTTACTGGGAATATACCTGGAGGAACTCAGATCACTTTATGAAAAAGATACCTGCACATGCATATTTATTGCAGCATTATTTATAATAGCAAAAACATGGAACCAACTGTACTGCCCGTCAAAAGAGGAGTGGAGAAAAAAGTGTGGTACATATACATGATGGAATATTATGCAGCCATAAAGAAGGACAAAATTATGAACTTTGCAGCAACTTGGATGGACTTAGAGTCTAAAATACTGAGTGATCTGTGACAGAAACAAAGAACTGAGTACCACTGAACATTGAACAATTATCATAATGCTATAAGAAAGGGATTGGCAGTAGTTGGAAACTGCCAGGGGAGTAGAAGCGGGGAGGGGATTGGCAGTAGAGGGAAACTGCCAGGGGAGGGGGGTACACCTCATTAACAAGGGTACCTGCATAATGAACATTTGTATACTTAGCCCTGAATTGTACCCCACATCTTTAAAATAAAAAAATAATTAATAATTTTATAATTTGACAGGCAAATAACTGTATTTGACTGCGGATGTGTATTTGAGGTTGAACTTTATACTTTTATTGCCTATTTAGTGTTTTTATTAATTACCTATTCACATTTTTAACAAATTTTTCTGAGGAGTGTATCTTTTTGATTTGGAGCCCTTCTCTTCTCTGGTCCTATAGGCTCCTATTTGAATATAGCTTATTTTGTCACTTTCTGTCTTTATTTTCCAATTTATTATCTTTGTCATTCACTTGGTTTATTGCCCATTCTTTATGTTTGGTGTATAGGCATCTGAGACTAAAAGTGTTGTTGAAATCAGGGCCCCTTCTTGATTACTTTCCTCATGTCAGTCACTGATTACCTCCCAATCTTTTCCCCCCACGTTATAACTTCTCTCCATAATTATAGATAATCCCAACTTTTTCTGTACTTAAATCTTCTTCACCTCATTCAGTTTAAAGTCAGTGTAATTTAGTCATTTAGATTGAGGCAAAAAATAATTTTTAAAAAATCTTCTTGAGAAACATTCTATTCTTAGCTAAGAGTCCGTTACTTTGACATATTAAACCCCAGAGTGGCTAATATGCTCTCTTATGGACCACATAGTAAATGTTTGAGGTCTTGCAGGACAATGGGTTTTTTAACTATTCAGTTCTGCCCTTGTAGTGCAAAAGTAGCTATGGAAAATATATGAATGAGTGAATGTGGTTATGTTCCAATAAAACTATGGACACTGAAATTTGAATTTCATACAATTTTCATGTGTCACAAAATATTCTGCTGCTTCTCCCTTAGCCATTTAAAAATGTCAAAACTGTTTTTAGCTAATGGGCAGTTCAAAAACAGGTGGTGGGCCAGATTTGGCTCGTGGGCCTTAGTTTGCTAACCATTGTCACAAGCCATACTGCAGAGAAACACATCTAGTCTGTAATCACCATACAGCTATTTATCTTCCAGTTTTCCAAACTCTTGGCATTTATTAAAAACCAACAAAACTCTACTATGTTCCACAGTCCTTTAGGTTTGTACTTGAGGTCTTTGAGGCTGTTTCTCTGGTCTTATTCATCCCATTAGAACCAGCAGTGCCTTCCTCTCCATTGTCTTTTCTAATTTCTGTAGATTCCACCTTTGTAATATCTCATCTCTTCTATTCTCTTCCAGTACACTAGTTAAAACTTTCGCCCAGAGAGTTGTGGTGGTTTCTTAACTCATTGTCTACCCCTCTAATCTAATTTTCTGTAGCGAGTTTACAATTCTGATAATGTCTCTACCTTGCTAAAAATCTCTAGTTTCGGCACCTCTATTTTTGCCTATATAACCAAGAAATATTCCTTAGTTTGGCATTTTATGTGTTCTGTATTATGACATTAATCCACCTTTCCAGTTTTCCTCTTTCATTGTTAGTGCCTTCAGACAAACTATTCATTTTGTTTTTCTTTGTGAAGTTCCTTCTACCTTCAGTGTTCTCTATACCATTTCTCTCTGCAAAGTTCTTCCATCTTTCAAGGCTTTTCAAAGGAAGCCTTCTTTGTGTTTACAACTTAATGCTGTGTGTCCTTTTTAATGGTACTTATAGTCAGCCTTAGGTTATGAGTATTTATGCATTTCTCTCATTTTTTACTTAATTGTAAGTGCCTTGAGAGGAATGACACTGTCAAAGTGACCTTTCTTTGTCCTCTGAAACACCTAGCACAGTGATAATTTAATAAGCATAATGTACTGAAGCTTAAAATGGTGGGAGAACGAAATGGTGGGAGAATGTTGAGATATGAGAAATAAGTTATCTTTAGATTCTCTTATTGCTCACTGGGAAAGCTTTAGGGAATTATCTCATGTGAGACACAGAAGAATTGTAAAGAATCTAAGACCAAGGATGGGACTGTTTGTTAAAGCTAATGACAGATCCACATGGAAATGCCCAAGAAAATGTGGAAGTAGGGAAAAATTTACTCTTAGGGAGCCATCCACATGCCAAAATGTTGAGGGACTTCTACTGAATGTGGTACTGATGCCATTGGATGAAAAGATTAGTGTGTGGCCCAAGAGAGAATCCTTCCAGGGCACATGCTCACCAGAGGAGCAGGCAAGGATTATGTTGAACTCACACGTGTGCTAGACATTGTGATGCTCACTCTTCCCACCTTACCTTGTCTTTCACAACTACCTTGAGAGAGATTATATTCATTTTCGAGGTGAGGAAATGAAGACTTCAAATGTCATGCAGTTTGTATGTAATGACAGGCCAAGTGAGTATAAGAAGATAGACCAAAATAAAATAGTTTACAAGGAAAAAATATTAATAGTGATTGTGTTTGGATGATAGGATTGTAGGTAATTTGGGGGGTTTTTTATACATAACTTTTCCTTCTTTTTTTACATTTAGTTATCAACTTCTCTGTCTTGAGCGCACATAATACCACGATCTTTTGTGTTACTTTGGTTCACCACCGCTGTGTCTAGCTACTGGACCTGGGTTGTGTGGATGTGCTCCCTGCCGCTTTCTTTTCATAACTTCCTGTGCTTCCAGCTTATTTCTTAATGATTTCCATGCATTCGCTTTAAACTTTTTTGGGACCTCTCTATGCCATTGGCTTCTTTCCAATTCTCTGTCTCCTGCTACCTTAACTCAGATACCCTCCTATTTTGATTTCTTACCAAACTTAAATTATCCATTATTTCCTCAACTCTATTTTTCATTTTTTTCTACTTTCTCAAATCTCTGACCTCCTTTTTCCTCCTCCTTTTGGGACTGGGCCTTGCTTCTGAACACCCAGAGAGTACTGAAGCTGTCCGAGAAGAACGCTTATCTTCGGACTCCACGTTCACAAAGCCTTTCTGTGTACCCCTACTGGTTCTTTTTTCCTTTGCTTCTGTTACAACAAAAGAGCTTTTTCGTCCCTCCCTTTAGGGTCAGTTGTTCTACCCATGCCTAGACTTGGTATTCCCATTCCTCGGGGACCTTCTATCCATCTTTTCTCTACGTTAGGCATCCACTAAGTATGCTTTTCATAAACATCAACTATTTTTATAAATTGGAGAAAATTAGTAACTCTGGCTAAGAGTATGGGATTGAGTAATAGAAGACTTTGGAAAATTCTAGAAAATTCTACAGTGTTTAGTTTCATAAACATTACATCTTCTCTAAGTGTAGGTTATATTGTATAAATGATTACGGTGCCTATTCTTAAAAACAGTATTTTATTCATTTAAGTGAAATATATTTCCTTTTATAGATATTTCTTTTGCATATTGTTTAGAATTTTCTTTGACTTTTTTCCTCACAGTTGGAGAACACATTCAAATCAGTTATTGCACATATTGGACCTGGAGGAACTATCAGCCCAGAGCTAAAACATAAGATAAAATTTGTAAGTATTTTCTGTTTAAAGAAACAATTAAGAATAATTGATTATAAATTTAGATATCATTTATGTTTGAGTTTGTCTGCAAGTATTTATTAGTTTTACATTTATACCTGATCTTTTCTTATAACTACAAACAAAGTTGTTGTTCTTCTAAAAACAAGAAAAATAAAGTACATACTCCTAAAAATCTTTTATGTAAAATTATTTAGAAAACATAAATTCTTCCACAAGTTCTCATCCTTCTTCATCTTATCCCAACAAATAGTTGACAAATAGTTCAGGATTGTTCCAATATTGATTGTATATGCATGTACATCAAGTATTGTAACAGTGTGTGGTATCCTGTTATGCTGATGTACCATGCTTCATTTATGAGATCCGTAATTGAATAAAATTTGTTTTTACTCTTGGCTATTGAAGAAAATTCTGCAGTTAATGTTCATGAACATTTATCTAGAAGTGGAATTGCCAGTCAAAGGTATTGAATATTTTATGTTTTGACAAAAATATTACTAAGTCACCCTGTAAAAGGTTTGAACAGGGCTGGGTGCAGTGACTCACATATGTAATCCTAGCACTTTGGGAAGCTGAGGTGAGAGAACTACTTGAGCCCAGGAGTTTGAGACTAGCCTGGGCAACATAGTGAGACCTGTCTCTATTTCAGAAAATTCACCAGCTGTGGTCACACACACCTGTAGTCCCAGCTATTCAGGAGGCTAAGATGGAAGGATCACCTGAACCCAGAAGGTCGAGGTTGCTGTGATGGTGCCACTGCCCTCCAACCTGGGCAATAAAGTTGAGACCCTGACTCAAAAAAATTAAAATTAAAAAAAAGTTTGAACAAATTTATGCTCTCACTGACAGTGAAGTGTTATATCCCATCATGTTGTTTTAATTCATATCTCTCGATTTTTTACACTGAGCATCTTTTCATATTCTTAGTAGTCATTTATATTATTATGTGTGAATTGCCTATTCATGTCTTTGGCCTCATTTGTTTTGCTTTATTAATATGTTAAAACTGTTTGTTATACATTGTGCCAAAGGGTATATAATTTTGGTGGGAGCTGTTAAATCTGATTTGAGTAATCAGGATGCCATTACAACTTGTGCTGCCTTATATTATTCCATTTTAACTGTCATGATTTTACTGCAAAAACCCGGTGCATTCATTTTTTTGTTTGGATGCTTGAGCAAGTGTCCCACAATTATTTATTAAAGGATGTGAATATGATTTTTTTATGGTACAGAAAAATTAGAGAAAAGCATTCATTGATAAAGGATTGGTTAAATCATCCACCCAAACTATGGAATATCATGTGACTCAAAAGAAAAGTTTATATATATATAAGCTTATATATATATATTAGTTTACATGAAAGTTTCTCCTTGACATATCATTGGACTTTAAAAACAGGTTTTATAGTGTAGCATGTTTATAATTGTCCTTTTATATAAAATCATGGGTAATGTAGATGCTTGCAAAAATATGTTTCTGACAGGATGTTTTCTAAAATGCAGCAGAGGATTTTGAAATAGTTTTTACTTTGTTTTCCAGAAGCTTGAATTGGAATTTTGAATAAAACATATCTGGAAATACCTAGGAAAATGAAACTTTTTATATTTTATTGGGATAGAGTAAGCTCATGACTAGGAATGTATCCTAAAAAAATCATTGGACAAGTATGTAAAAGTCAAGTATGATATAATACTTAGAACAGAATTTGTGATGAAAAATAAAATAGAGGATCTAATAAATAAATTTAGATATATTGTATATTTTGAAATATTTATAGCTAGTAAAAATGTTGATCTGTATTTACTGACATGGTAAGATGTCTATGGTATGATATATAAAACTGGTTATAGAAACACTGACCTTATTTTTATATTAAATATAGGTACTTTATGTGCATGTAGGCAATAATGCTATATGGAGATATTTTATCTTAACTATATTTTCCAGTTTTTATAATGTTTGTTGCATTTCTTTTCTAACAACAAAAATTCTTGAAATTATACTGTAGAATTTTATGTGAACTGAAGCTAAATGTGTTCGCTGAGCTAAAGAAGTATGGAGATTTCTGGGGAGTTATGGCGTTGCAGTATCAAGTAATAATTTCTCAATGCTGGAGATATTAGGAATCATGGTCTTTTTTATATTTTTTTAAACTGGGAACTGATTTTAAAAATATATATATAATTCATTCATTCAGTAATCATGTTGTTTTGGTCTTTGTTGTTGTTAAAGTTTATACTATCTTATTTTGATATTTTGTCACTCAGCATTCCAATTGTGTCTGTATTGTATTTTACTTTCTATTTATTAGGTTGTATCCAAGTTTCCAGAAGGTTTGCTTATTTCTAAACTACTTGGAGAATTTGAAGTAAGTGTTTTCTTTTTCACCAACCTTGATTTTTTTTAGTGGCTTATGTTTCTTGCAATAGACAGAAATTTTGTTGCTACTTCTTGGATCTTTCAAGTCTGTGCTATAACACTTAAAAACATCTTGTTTTGCAGCTTAATGTCTTTTTCTTTGAGAGTTAAGAAGTGATCAAGTGATTATATATAGGGAAGATACTTTTACTACTTATTGCTATAATAATATTGGAATAAAGATGATCTTATTTTTAGTGCCTGACATTACCAGGTATTAGTGGGAATGTGGAGAAACAGAATTCCTCAGACAAAGGGGTGGGGCAAAACCCCTTGGACAGCATCTTGGCATTATCATGGAAAGTTGAAGATATGTACCCTCAAGGATCCAGTTGTTCTATTTCTGCATATTACTCTAGAGAAATTCTTGTACATGTACATACTACAACATAGGAAAACACAGAAACAAACTAAATGGCCATTAGTAAGAAAATGGACAAGTAAATTGAGATAGACATTTATACAATGGAATAGTATGTAGTTTAGTATAAAATAAATGAATTAGATCTGTTCTGCAACATGTAACATTTTAAAAATTGTAATGTTGAATGAAGAAAATCAAATTGCAGAATAATAATTCAGATGATGCCGTACGAGGGGACACCCCCCAAAAAAACCCAGAATTTTTTTTTTTAATTGTGTATTTATTTATTTATTTTTGAATTGGAGTCTTACTCTTTTGCCCAGGCTGGAGAGAGTGGCTACTGCGGCCTTGACCTGATGGGCTCGGGTGATCCTTCGGCCTCAGCCTTCTTCCTCCATCACCAGGCCCAGCTAATTTTTAAATTTTATTTTAGAGATGAGATCTCACCAAGTTGTCTAGACTGATCTCGAATCCCTGGGTTCAGACAATCCTTCCCTTCACATCCCAAAGTGTTGGGATTAGAGGTGTGAGCCATCATGCCTGGCTTATATTGTGTATTTATTCTTACATGTTTAAACTTCAGTCACCATTTTGACATAATACACATATCTAGACACTATTTCCACTGCTCAAAACAGTTTTTGAACCCATTAATTTTGGTGTCTTTTTTTGTTTCACTTCTTCCACGTTGGCAGAACATTTTTCTCTGAGGACTTTTTTCACCTGGGGAAACAACAAAAAAAAGTCACTAGGGTTGAGACCGTATGAATAGGGAGGGTGGGATACGGAGATTATGCTGTTTTTGGGCAAAAACTGTTGAACACTCAGTGCATTGTGGACAGTTGCACTTGTAAATCACTCATGAAATGGGCAAACATGTTGAAAGAATCTTCAAAAAATAATTCACTGAAGCCGAACACAACCTCTCACAACAATGCTAGCTGGTACACTAATGCCAATGGGTTTCTAGAACACTTAGGAGGGGAAGCCTGTACTATAAGGGACCCACCCTCCAAAAAATAATTCCAAGTTTTTTTGGGTGCCCCTCCATATATCCAATTTTTTTTTTTAAAGCCAGTCTTATACATATATTAACTGGATGCTAGGTACTATTCTACCTTTCATATACTAATTCATTTGATTTTCATAACAAAAGGAGGCACACAGCAGTAAGATCCATTAAAGGATGAACCAGTTAATTTTTGTGTATGGTGATAGGGGTCCTGTCTCAATCTTCTGCATGTGGTCAGCCAGTTTTCCCAGCACAAAAATTAACTCTAAATGGATCAAAGACCTAAACATAAAACCTCAAACTATAAGAATCTTAGAAAGCGTGGGAGACACCCTTATGGACATTGAAACTGGGAACCAATTCCTATTCAGAATTCTAAAGGCCAATACCTTAAGAAGTAAGATAGACAAGTGGGACCTTATCAAACTAACTAGCTTCTGCAAAGCAAAAGAAATCATCAAGAGAGCAGGAAGACAGCCCACAAATGGGAAAAAATATTTGCCAACTGTATATCTGACAAAGGCCTAACGTCTAGGATCTACAAGGAACTCAAACGTGCCAAAAGGAAAAAAACAAACAGCCCCTTTAATAAGTGGGCAAAAGACATGAATAGACACTTCTCAGAAAACGATATACAGGCAGCCAGCGGACGCAAGAAAAAGTGCTCACCCTCACTCATCATCAGAGAAATGCAAATCAAAACCACAACGAGATACCACCTAACCCCAGTAAGAATGGCCATCATTAGTAAAACAAACAATAACAGATGCTGGCGAGGATGTGTAGAAAAAGGAACGCTTCTACACTGCTGGTTGGAATGCAGACTAGTACAACCTCTTTGGAAGACAGTGTGGCGATTTCTGAAAGAACTAGAAATTGACCTTCCATATGACCCAGCAATTCCCCTATTGGGAATATACCTGGAGGAACTAAAAATATTTCTACAAAAAAGATAATTGCAAATGTATGTTTGCTGCAGCTCTATTCACAATAGCCAAAACATGGAACCAACCCTGATGCCCATTGAAGCTGGACTGGTTAAAAAAAATGTGGTACATATACACAATGGGATATTATGCAGCCATAAAGAAGGACAAATATATGAACTTTGCAGCAACTTGGGGAGATTTGGAGTCGATCATACTCAGTGATTATAATGCTATAAGAAAGCGACTGGCGGTACTGGAAAACTGTCAGGGGAAGGGGGGTGGGACTGGCAGTTGAGGGAAACTGCTAGGGGAGGGAAGGGCATACCTCATCAACAAGGGTACCTGCATGATCGGTGTCTATATGCCTAACCCTTAATTGTACTCCACATCTTCATAATTAATAAATAAATTTTTTTTTAAATTAAAAATAAAGGATGAGCCAGGATTTGAACCTAGGCAGTCTGGCTTTAGAATCCCAGCTCTTAACTACTATGCTATGGAAGCTATAGTGTATAGATACAAACATATATATTCTGAGCTAGTATAACATAATGATTAAGATATATCATCTCTGTGTTCTCTCATAGATGATATATTAAATCAAGATGATAATACCTACTTAGAGTTTTGTGAAGTTAATGACTTAAAAATAAACTGACCCGCCAGTCCTCCTCTCTAGACAGGGCCAGACACTAAGAAGAAACTGAGTGTGGGATGGGGACAACAGGAAAAGAGGAGGTCCAGATGTAAGTAGGTTAAGGGAAAAGAGCCAGGAAACTTCAAATATAGGTTGCTGTGTTTTTAAACATGATATGAAAACAATACAATAAGGAATTCTGTGAAGCACAGAAGCTATCCAGAATACTCTTCTATAAATTGGGAAAACTAATTTTGCATAGATTTAGAGCAATACAAGAGCATCAGAGTTAACTCTCATTTACTGTTGTAAGAAAAAAGAATAAGGAGCATAGTAATATATCCACAGACAATAAAAACATGTCAGAAATACATGCCCCTAATACAGATGCTAATACAGATGACAACTGAAGCCTGCTCTCTCAAAAAGATATTTAGAAAGTAATATATGACATGAAAGAACAACATAAATCTGAATTACATGAATTTGGAAATAAGGTGATAGTATTTCGAAAAGACTCAGAAATAAAAGAAAAAAGTCAGAAATGAAGACTAAGCTACAAGGATTACAAGGGGAAAAAAAAGAATATAGGAGATAGAGCCTTAAGAAAAAGCTGGTTTAAAAAAAGAGAACATTTTTGAAAAGCATAAGAAAATGAAGGAGGCACTGGGGATCCAGGGTTAAAAGGCTCTGTCTGCGAGGTTTTTGAAGTTTAGTGAGAAACTCAGGCATGTAAGTAAACTTAGATAGTGTTATATCTGAGTAGCCTATATCAGAACAATCCTGCAGTTAACTGTTATAAATTCTGACAAAGCCGATCTCGGTGGCTCAGCCTGTAATCCCGCGCCTTTGGGAGGCTGAGGGTTCGAGACCCACCTGGGCAGTGAGACCTCATCTCTACAATAAATCAAAAAATTAGCCAGGCGTGGTAGCGCATGCCCGTAATTCCGGCTACTCGGAAGGCTGAGGCGGAAGGATCGCCGGAGCCGGGCAGGTCGAGGCTACAGGCCACTGCACTCCAGTCCGGGTGACAGAGTGAGACTCCAACTCAAAAAAAATAAATAAATAAATTCTGACAAAACAAATCTGAGGAAACTGACCAAAGGCAGAAATGAGAGGAGAGTCAGCACCTGGTGAAGGGAATGGCACTTTTTTTATTTTGTTTGAAAATGGAGTCTTTCTGTGTTTCCCAGACTGGTCTCAAACTCATTCTCATGAGTTGCTGGGATTACGGGCATGAGCCACCATGCTGGGCCAGTGGCACCCTTTTTGTTTGCCTGGATCTTGGCCTGATGGCAGTCCCCATTCAATTTTTGGCATTGGGGACTTGAATAGAAATAAAGTTTTACTGGCTTGAGGAACCAGTGGATAGAGTTTGGAGCTAACTAAACAGCTGAAAAATGAGGAAGGGTGATATTTTAGGATGGGGAGAGGTACAAAGAAGAAGCTGTAAATTCTTGGGGCAGACTCAGTGCAGCCCTGTTCTTTTTTTTTTTAAAGAATTTATTGAGAGGGCAGAAAAGCTCCCATAGTGGGAGGGGACCCGAAGAGTTGCCCGCCCCTGTTCTTTTAACACATTTGTGATCAGCAAATTTTTTGCTTTCCTAATACTGATTACGGATGAGAATAAAAAAAAAATCTGAAGCTGGTTGCCGCAAACTTCTGCCATTAAGCACAAGTGAAATGACCTTTTCTAAATTGTCACCTTTTTCACAATAGCTGAAAGTTGCAGACATATCCAGTCTTTGCCTCAGACACCACTCTGACTAGCATTCCGTACTTTGTATTCTGTACTAGCATTCCATACTTTGGATTATATTATTCAGAAACAGAACTTGCAGAGACATAAATTCACATCAGCAATTGCAAATAAGTTAAGTCTAAAAGGACTGAAGTTATTGCATCTGTTTCCCGAAACAGGGTAACAGATTTGGAGTTTAAGTTCAGTCAAATTAAGTCTCTGCTAAAACAGAGCAAAAAGTAATACTTTCTAAAGGAGCATAGGCGACTCCCAGGTCTCTACAATACATCTATTATGATGCCTAAGATACAAAACAAAATATATATATTATATATATATTTTTTAATTTTAAAGATGGGAACAATTCAGGTTTAGGTATGTAAGGGGTGATCATACAGCTAAAGTTTGGGCCTCCCTTTGGTCCCCACTTTGCCTGGTTTGAGAGCAGGTACCCTTATTGATGTTGTGTGTCCCTCCCACCACACCCAGGCAGTATCCCTCAACTGCCAGTCCCCTTCTTATAGTATTATGGTAAATGTTCAGGATCCACGCAATGATAACATGTGACACTCTGTTCTTTGTTCTGTGATAGATCACTGAGTATGATAGACTCTAAATTCATCCAAGTTGCTGCAAAGTTCATATGTTTGTCCTTCTTTATAACTACATAATATTCCATTGTGTATATGTACTACATTTTTTTTATCCAGTCCAGTTTTGATGGGCAGCATGGTTCCTTATTTTCGCTATTGTGAATAGTGCTGCAATAAATATGCGTGTGCAGATATTGCTTTTAATAGAATGATTTGAGTTCCTCTGGGTACATTCTCAGTAGGTGAATTGCTGGGTTAAACGGAAGGTCAATGCCTAGTTCTTTTAGAAATCACCACACTGTTTTCCAGAGAGATTGCACTAGTTTGCATTCCCACCAGCAGCGTAGAAGCATTCCTTTTCCTCCGCATCCTCACCAGCATTGTTGTTGTTTGTTTGATTAATGATGGCCATTCTTACTGGGGTTCGGTCGTTTGTTTGTACACCAAAATGCTATTCAACGTTAAAAATAAATAAACTGATATATGAACCAACTTGGGTGAATTTGAAAAACTGCTAAAATAAGTCTCACATAGAAGGGTATCTAGTGTAGATTTTTTATATGAAATGATACCATAGCCAAAGCAAATATATGGTGAAAAAAAGTTATTTGCCTGTAGCAATAAATGTAAAAGGAAGAATTTTGAAGGGTGATGGAAGTGTTCTGTGTCTTAAATAGGAGCTTAGGTTACACAGTTATGCTTTTATCAAAGCTCATTGAATGGTAAACTTAAGTTGTGTGCATTTCACTGTATGTACATTTTACCTTTAAAAATAACAGACATTGAGCTCTAGTTAATTATGTGCATACTGCCATGTTTTAGGGTAAAGGACCCTGATGTTGTCAGATTACTTTGAAATGTATAGAAAAAGATAAGTTAGATTGGTGGATGGATGGATACATAGATGACAAAGCAAAGATAGCAGAGCATTAACAATTATATAATCTAGGAGGTGTTCACTGTCAAATTCTTGAAACTTTTTGGAATTTTTCATGAGAAAATGTTAAGAAAAAAATGAGGATTCAAGAGAAAGTGACAGGTATTGAAAACAGGTTAAAAAGAGCCAACATATGAATAATAAAGCCAGAGAAAGACACAGAATAAATACTGAAAACTATGTTTCAAGTAAACTTTACTAAAATGGAAGATTTGAATCTATTTCTTGAAAGAGCACAGCACATACTTGAGACTATCAACCCAGAATGACTAATACCAGTTCTTTTTTAAAGAAAAAGAAAACTTCTTTGGACATTTAAACAAAAAGAGCCAAGTGACTTAGAAACAAAATTAGATTATTAGACATTTTGACAACAATGTTTTTATACTAGAAGAAAAGGGAGTAACATATTTTGCATACTTAAGGAAAATGTGAACCAAGGATAGCAAAACTGACTTTCATTTACAGCTTTTGGTTACAAGCTATTATCTTTTAGTATAAGCTATTATTGCCATGCAAGAATTCAAGAATTATTGTTCCCATGAGCCCTTCCTGAGGACTCTAATGGAAAATGAACTTCAAATAACCAAAATCACTAGAAAGACTGGCAAAAGAACTGAAAATGAATTCCACTTATAGAACTAAGACCAAATGAGATTAGAAGGGAGAGAATATAGTATTTAGTGGTTATAGACTCCAACAACATAGATAAAATACAATTACACAAAATGGCGGAAGGAGAAGGGTGAGCATATTTTAAAATATTTTGTTTTTATATTATTGGTAATATTAGCATTATTCCTAGATCATTGTATAATATGGTATAAAGCAATTGGATAATTATGGGATAATTCTAAATATATATGCAAGGATATTCTGATTACATACCAAGCCAGGAAGAACACTGTTAAAAACTAGGTTCACCGCTTCTACACTGCTGGTGGGAATGCAAACTAGTGCAAGCTTTTTGGAAAACAGTGTGGCAATTTCTAAAAGAACTAGACATTGACCTTCCATATGACCCAGCAATCTCCCTACTGGGAATGTACCTGGAGGAACTCAAAACATTCTATTAAAAAAGATACCTGCACATGCATGTTTATTGCAGCACAGTAGTAAAAACATGGAGCCAACCGTGCTGGCCATCGAAACTGGACTGGATTAAAAAAATGTAGTACATATACACAGTGGTGTATTATGCAGCCATGAAGGACAAACATAAGGACTTTCACAGCAACTTGGATGGATTTAGATTCATACTCAGTGATCTATCACAGAAACAAAGAACAGAGTGCCAAATGTTCTCACTCATAAGCAGACTCTGAACATTTACCATAATACTATAAGAAGGAGATTGGCAGTAGAGGGATACTGCCTGTGGGGGGGTGGTACACAACATCAATAAGCGTACCTGATCTCAAACCAGGCAAAGTGGGGACCAAAGGGAGGCTCAAACTTTACCTGTACAATGACCGTTTGTATACCTAATCATTGTACCCCACATCTTTAAAATAAATAAGTAAATAGTAAATAGTAAAAAACAAAAACAAAAAACTAGGTTCACATCAGAAGGGCTTAGGAATCTGCTTGAAGAGTTATTTCAGGCTACAATAATTGCAATGGTTGAAGTCCATCAAATATATTTAATTCTGTGGTTTCATATAATATTTTTAAAATTAATGGGTCAACATGTATAGTGAACCAATTCGTTTTCTTAAAATATAGCAGAGTCAGTCACTTATCTTGGCTTTCCTAAATGGTATGACTGGATAAAGAAATAGCAGATGATGGCCTGGCACAGTGGCTCACACCTGTAATCCCAGCACTTTGGGAAAGGTGAAGGCGAGAGGATTGCTTAAGCCCAGGGGTTCAAGACCAGCCTGGGCAGCTAGGCAAGACCTTGCCTCTATAATAAATAAATAAACAAACAAGCAAGCAGCAAAGCATGCATGCAGGCTGGGCACGGTGGCATGTACCTGTGATTCCAGCTACTTGGAAGGGTGAGATGAAAGGATTGTTTGAACCCAGCAGATTAGGGCTGCGGTGGCCGTTAGCATGCCACTGCACACCAGCACCAGCGTGGGTGATAGCGTGAGACTTTGACTTAAAAAAAAGAAACAGCAAATGAGGAGAAGCACACCTCTATGAAATGTTTTAACTAAATAATTAAAAAAAGAATTAATAGAATTAGAATGCCACTATATTAAAACTCTCAATAAAGTAGTAGATCTAGGTATTGACTAGTAATGGCTCCTAACACACCAAAAAAGAGACTGCCAGACATTATGTACTTCTCTTTAGAACATAGCATCACTTATACTTTTGTCAAAGAGATTAAGCATGGGTCTGATCAAGGATGTGGGGATATCCGATATCCACTTGCCAATTTGCAGGAAATAAAGCATTTGCACTATGAGTTTGTCCATCTGTAAAATCCAGACTGTGGGGAAATAAAATCATGTAATAGAATATGTACATATATCTGAAAGCATAAACCTAACTGTAAGGAAAAAATGATAATAACTTAAATTGGGTTGGGGAATGAAAGAAAAGTAAGGAAAGTGGGAATAGAAATACATTTCTTCATGAGCACATAGTTGGGAATCTATAAAGCAGAAAGCATAACGGGAATTAGGACAAAATCTATCTGGCATATTAATAAATTGACTCACTTAACCATTTTTAAAAAACTGATTCTCAGGATCACCAAGCAAAACTCTAATGGTATTTTAACTGAAGTGCAGGCTGTGCACAATATATGTAATCTAGTATGTTGAAGCACGTTTGAGTTTTGACAGTCTCTGGAAAGTTGCAACAGAAAAACTGGTAATAATGGTAACCTCCAGAGAGGTGATTGATGGGTGACTAAATAATGTATTTTATATACCTATCCATATAAGATAAATAATTTCCATATTATCTCCTATCTTTATTTGGTATGATTTTTATTCTTTGACAAGAAAAATTAAACCATATGCTATAGGAAATAAATTGATAGATATCTGTTTATCCCAACTTTTAAGGCAAAATTTTAAGGAAATATTTTAACTATTTTAAGACAGGAATATCTTTCATGTTGAAGTGGTAATGAATATTATCTTTCTTGGAAAACAGAGACATATCTATAGTTTTAATATAACTTTTGTATTTAGTGCATTCCTCTTTTTTTTTTTTGAAAAATTTTACTTTATAGTCAGACATTGTTCAAAATGAGAGTTAAAAAGGCCCCCTGATACTTTCATTTACCATATCCTTTAAAAGGAACTTGATGTTGGCCTGGAAGTTTTGCCGTAAGGGATTATTGATCTCTTGGTTACTGGTATGGAAGCAAGCCTTTTCTTTAATACTTGAGTTCACTGACCCTTAAAGATTTAATTTGGCTAAATTCAAATTAAAACATTGTCCAAGAACATCTGTACAGTATATATTTCCATTTTTTGTGACAGGTAACTTTTAAAGAGCAACTTTCACCAAAAAAATTAGGATTCTTAAATGTGACAGAACTTGTTGGAGCTCTTAGTGACATTCTCCATGTTGAATTCAAAGAAGGACAAGACTTACGAGTGTTTGATGCTGATATGAAGCCTCTACCACCTGGTGAGTTAAATCACAGTATCATGCAAACTTTATTTTTTTATTTTTAATTGTCCTTATGAAGACAGATAAAGCATGAACTAATGTTTAACCATAAAATGTTTTTTATATAATGACCTCCTTTCTAGTAGTATTTGTTAATAAGGTTAATCTTTATTATTAATAAAAAGTACTTGAGTTTTTAGAATTTACTTTCTTCATTGTTCATATTTTTGGATAATTCTGAAGGAAATAAACTTTTTAAAATGGTGGTCTGATAGTTCAGTGGTTCTTAACTCAGGCTGTACATCAAAAGCTTTTTAGAAATACGTGGAGATTTGGAGTAAATGGGTGTACATTGGGACCCAGTAGTTATATTTTTTAAAATGAACTTTTTTTGGGGGAAAATCGTAGTTGTGCAGCAAAGTTACAAAGGCGTTCTCATATACTCTTCATCCAGTTTCCTCTAATATTAACATCTTACATTACCATGATACATTTGCCAAAACTAAGAAATTAGGCTGTGCATGGTGGCTCATGCCTGTAATCCCAGCACTTTGGGAGGTCGAGGCAGGAGGATCACTTGAGTCCCAGGAGTTCAAGACCAGGCTGGGCAACATAGCGAGACCTTGTCTCTATTTATTCAAACAAACAAACAAACAAACAACAACAACAACAAAACCTAAGAGTTTAACTTTGGTACATTACTATTAACTGAACTCCAGGCTCCATTCTGATTTTATCAGTTTTTTCCAAGAATGTCCTTTTTCTGTTTTTGTATTAACTCCAAGATTCTACATTGCATTTAGGACATTTGATTTTTGTGGGTTTTGGAGGGGAACTTAGTTTTTATTTAATTTTGAAATATTTATTGAGATAATTGAAGACCCACAGTTGTAAGAAATAATACAGAGTTAGCCCATGTACCTTTTACTCAGTTTCCCCAATGGCAATATCTTGCAGAACTATAGTGCAATATAGTACTTGTATTTTTATAAGCTTGTACAAATGGTTATAGAAGCTATTTTTTTCCAAAATGTGAATCTCTTTATTGATTTTTCTGATTATTAAAGTAACATGTTAATTCTGAAAACATTTAAATAGCACAGATTAGTAGAATGTGAACATTTGACATCATTTTACTACCCCCAAGTTAGACTGTTTATATAGCCTGCCAGAATTTTTCAAATATGTATATGTGAATATATAATTCATATATTCATAAACCTAGCTAGATTATTTTTGTAATAAAAAAAAGAAGTATATGCCTGTTTAAACAATTTCACCAATACAGAAGTAGCTAATAATTTTATGGTGTATATTTCTGGACCTCTTCTATTTCATATAGTTAATTATCACATGTATAACTTTTCCTACAAAACCAGTATTATATAAATATAGATGCTCCTCAACTTAACAATGGAGTTATGTCCTGATTAAACTCATAGTAAGTAGAAAATGCATTTAATACACCAAATTTACTGAACATCATAGCTTAGCCTAGACTACATTAAATGTGCTCAGAGCACTTATATTAGCCTGCAGTTGGGCAAAATCATATAACACAAGCCTATTTTGTAATAAATTATAGAATATCTCGTGTAATTTATTGACTACTGTGTGAAAATGAAAACAGAATGGTTGTATGGGTACTCAAAGCACGGTTTTTACTGAAAGCATATCACTTCTGCACTATCCTTAGGTCAAACCAGCGTAAGTTGGGGATGTATTGAGTGAGTCCATGGTTTTTACACCCTCATATATTGTGGATGTTTTTCTATATTAGTACATACAAGTTTATTTCATCTTTTTTTAACTACATATAATTATTTTATATAATTTCATTATTATATACTTAACCATACTCCTATTAGTGGACATTTAGATTGTTTCCATTTTTTTACCATTATAAAAAAAATTCAGTGATACGTATTCTTGTACCTACAACTTTGTGTACTTATTACTGTATTTCTTTAGAAGCCACTATGTTTGTAGGTCTATCTGGAATCTGTTTTAATGTGCCAGCTTCTTGTAATCATCATATACATGGAAATTTGAATAAAATATGTGATTGAATTGGGAATTCCCTAAGAATTAAAGAATTATATTATGGAGTATTAAGTAGTCATATGTATTGTACATTAAACAACAAAAAATGCTCACTGCTTAATTTGAGCAAGAAATAAATTGAAATCAGGATTTTGAAAAATAGTATTTTACCACAGTTTAGGAAGCCTTACCAGACCACAGACTTGTTCTTATCTAGAACTTCCCTTATACTTCTCTACCCTGAACATTCTGCAAGGACAGGTTTGTATTTAATTTGTCTTTGTCTCCCCACTGCCTGGCACATTAAACATCTTAATAACAGTTATACAGTTACTTTAACAAATATACATAGGCTGCTCTAATGGCCATTTCAGATGGAGCTGTTTCATCAGACAGAAATTCATGTTTAATTCAATCAAATAAGAAAATAGAAGCCAAAGCTTGTGTCTCCAGTCCCCTTAGAAATTCACTGTCTACTGCTGCCGTCGAGGAGACTACATGGAATTGTCCTTCAAAAAACCTGAAAGAGTCACAACAGAAGATTTGCAAAAAGCCTAATCTGGTGGTAAAGCCTTTACAACTGGTGAGTGAGGTTTAATGACTTTGTACAATGGAGAACTCAGCATTATGGAAAGTAACTGAATGAATGTTTCTTTAAAATTCTTTTTGGAAAGAGAGGCCCAAACTTTACCTATGTGATGACCACTTGTAAACCTGAACCTCAATGGTATCCCACATCTTTAAAATAAAATTAAATTTAGCCAGGCTTGGTGGCTCAGCCTGTAATCCCGTGCCTTGGGAGGCTGAGGTGAGTGCATTGCCTGAGCCTGCAAGTTTGAGACCCACCTGGGCAACTTGGCGAGACCTCATCTCTACAATAAATCAAAAA